AATTAATCCACCAGACTGAACGAGTCAAATCAATGATACAAAACGTAACGAACCAAACATCATACGAACCCGGTTGAGACTGTTCTATCTGCTGCCGGAGGCAAATTGTTTTTGGCTCTTTTACCGATATTTACGAGTTGAACTGACAGCATTTTTGCTTGATAGCATTTTTCTACTCTCTTTTACAATACAGACCACAACCTCAAGTCACTCGCCTCTTAACACAGAAGTTATTAATAGGGATTTATTTCGAGTATTTCCATTTTTTCATTATTCTGAGCTTCACCTTGATTACTCCTCCTCATACGAAACTGTCGGGTTGAAGATTGTACCGACTGAAGCTAATAGGGTAGTGAATATGCTTTATTGTGCAAGCAAGCCAACAAGCAGAAAATTAATAATTTTACGCTTCTCTGAGGCTCTCCCCCATCTAATCCGAATGAGCAAAGTGATTACTTTGGATAAAGTAACAAAAATACTCGTAAGTGCTTTGGAAAACTTTATTATCACCGACAAAGGGTACCGCTGATAGTCTTGTGGCTCAGGGGTAAGGGTGTGAAGTGATCCCAGCGATATGCTATTCGGGAACTTAAGGATCAGAATCCGGCACCCTTAACCATAAGCTACTCGGTCGATAATCAACACCTTGAATTAATAGATAAATCAATTTGGAACGCGCTGTTTCTCTAGTTAACTGACGAGATTTGTGCAGAGGATGCAAAGAATTTCATCTCATCTGTTCGGGTGAATAACTAAACACAGTACTTGTTGTCTGAAAAATCGAATTAAAAGAGAAAAACATAACACCTGTGAATCTCTTGCTAAGAACAGAAAAGGATCTTGTTGAGCACCATTCTCAGATATCAAGTCTAGTAGGAAAGGGTTGCAAAAGTGCATTTTGATTCATATGATTTTGTAAAATCAGATGATATACAACTTTACTTGTAGGATGTGATAAATTCAGAGAATTCGTAGATCGAATGTTACCCAACTTACTAAGGTGGTTTCGGATGGAGTGTGTTGATTTCTTGTTTCGACAATCTCTGAATTGCTATCTCGGGATTCTGGAAACTGGATTCCGTCTTCCAGTGCTTTATTCGATTCTGAAATGGCCTCGAATTCGGACAAATTTACAGTTTCATCCAGCGCATCCGGTTTGCTCAGCTCAGAAGCCTGTTCCTCGCGCTTTTGACAAAATGCACTAAATTCGTCATAAATCTCTTCAATCATTTGGGCAGCCATAACTGGTCCCGATCTTGGTCGGGTTCTATGCATCTCACCCAAATCTCCGGCACCCGCGGTGATACCAGTTACCGGTTCCAATTGCTTTTCTTCCGCCTTTTCTGCTGAGCTGTCAGTCCCTTCTTGCTCCTTGCCGCGGTTGTTTCCTTCTCCCATGCCCTCTTGGTTCTCACCATCCGAAATTTCCTGGCTTTCTGACTGACTCACACTTGCGGATGAGGTTTGATTGTTTCTATCCCCATACAACCAGTCCACATCACCGGGATTAACATGAATATTGTCCGTCGGAAGTCCAGCCGCCTCAGCCTGTTCTCGCAATTCCCGCTCACGCTTTCTGGCCTCAATCACTTTCCGTTTCTCTGTCAACCCTGTAAATTGAAATAATCCACCGGGTAAAATCACAGATATTCATTCAGAGCAAATATTTTTCATTCAAATAGGAGAACGGAGTATGCAAGAGGGTGGGAGAATGGTACTAAAACATCACACGTACATCGACAACTGTCCATGATTTTCTGCTGTTCCGCATTGTTCCACTCTTGACGTACGAGATTTTCGTGTTCCGCTCCTCCTATGAAACTGGTCGATTTTTAATTGTTGGGTTTTGTGAGATTGAGAATATATGTGACTTACAAAGCTTCAGCGCATGCCCGATCTTTGGGAAACACCGGCCGATCGTCCAGATAAGTCAAGTTTTTCTGAAAATGAATCGTGGATCAAAATATCGAGTCATTTTTGTGATCTACTTTTGTCGAATCACGATGATAATCGATAGATCTATTTTATCGGAATAGTGGATGACTAAGTTTATGTATAAGAGCAGATGAAAGACGAACTCGATTTGAACAACTGATGAAAACCAATAGAATTGTATCGAGCATTCCAGTTTTTCAGTGCAAATTGAATTTACTCTGTACAAGACGGAAGCCGGAATTGGGTAGCTAACGTAACCTAGCCGAAATTCTGTTGCTACTGTGCCCCCAAATGATTTTCCTCTTGTTCTCTGTATGGGTCTGCATCAATGTCTCTCTCAATCTATCTCGACTAACACCGTTTGTATCTTAGATTTCCCACTCATAATCACATCGGTTTTCCGTATTCGTTCAACGTGAATTCACCGATTGTTGATGAACTGACGGAACACACGTTACACAACCCTGAATACACGCGTTCAACAGCAGTTCCGTTCAGTTTTTCCGACCAATAACCATGCACTTGCGTTGGTGCACTTGGTTACTGTCTTTTGGCCGCCCATTGGGACATTCAGCCATATTTCTCAGTGTCTCTAACCACCGGTGACCATCAAATCGTGGCCCCATTAAGGAAGCCTAACGGGACCTAGTCACCTAGTCACCTAGTTAGGGTTTTCATACGTTCATGCCGCTGAAAACAGTAGATCAAAAATTTTTCCGTTCCGTTTTCAAAGAAAAGAAATTAACCTTGCATTAGCGTACGGCTACTTTCGAAAGTGCCTTTTAGCTACTCTATCGGTCAACCAGTGGGACAATAGGTAGATGGTGGAGTTTGGAATCCAATATATATATATATGTATATATATATATGTGTGTATATATATATAAAGAAATAGAGTGCAAGTATATTAGATCATCAATCGAGCGGATACCCGAATAACGCCATTTACGATAGTCAACTATATCTTACAACCCGTTTGGCGATGGATTTGAAATAAAACTTAATTAACTACACGTCTCATCCCTGATGAATGTAAGTAATATCTCGGAATGGGCTAGGAAACAAGTCCTTCGTCCTTCGGTATTTGGCTAAGTAAGTTAGAACAATCGCAGTCCCAGTTCACTTTGTTTGCTTATTTTGATAGAACATGTCAATCTTTGTAGCCGAGGTACTAAAATAACCGCGGAGTAGAAAAAGCAATCAACGATTATGGATTTTGGTAAGACAGATATACTCTATACGCCAAATCTTGGCTTACGTGCCGCAGGGGATTTCAAACATTTTTGTTTCTTTTGGTATTTTCAGGGATGAGAGATCGGAAATACAATCGTGTCTCTGCATCTCAACATGGTGCATACTGCAGAAAATGCAATGATTATATAGAGCTTCAGCAATGCAACAAAGTATGTGGATAGAACAGAGTGACAATCACAGAATCGGTTGATGGAACATCTTTCAAATTGGGTTGACGCAATCGATGTCAAGTCTGTTGCATAGAAACGACGGTCGAGACTACAGGATCCCGTCCTCAGCCATTGCTCGACATCTGTTAACGACCCAACACCAGATTGACCGGATCGTGACGCTTCGAATTCTCTATAAGTTACGAGTCGCAAGATTGCTAACGTTTTCTGAAGCGAATGCGATTAACCGATGGAAGCACCCTGCCCCGTGTTAACAATAAGAACTTTATTTTAGCTTGTCTTTAATCTGGTGGCATGGTCCCTTTTACCCCTCTGCCCTTTTATATTTGTCTGTTTCAACGCATTTTACTTCACTTTTTTCTCATGCTAAATCCCTATTTAAATATTGTATTTTCTGCAGTATGCACCATGTTTGGATGCGGAAATCGTGTAGTATAGTGATATGGTCTTTTCTTTTGAAATAATTGTGTCTCTGACTTGGGTTCAATGCGATATCCGGGAGTGAATGAATATTTGAAATCCTTGGCCCAAAAGCAGTGAAAACCGTAAAAGTACTTCCCTATCAGAAATATGACAGGTGGAATGGAAATAATTGGTTTTATTTAATCCTTTTAACCAGTACACTCCTCCTCACATTCAACAGGAGGAAGGAGACAGCTTCGCGTACGGGTACATAACTGCAAAACAAGCCTGTTCTTTTTCTCTTAAGTCTGCTCAAACTATAAGATAATGAGAAATAGGATTCTGGAACAGATGAGCATAAATAGAAATTAATTTACGAACTCACACATTGATTGATCACGTTTTTCCGATAGTTTCTTACTTCACGAACGAACGGGTTGCCTTGATTGTACAGAACTCTCTGTAGAATGACATAAATAAACCATATAATTATATTACCAGCAAGTAGTCGTGAGCTGAAAGCGGAACGTCATCGAATTTGGGCACACATAAAAAAAGAACTTTACCAATGCAACTGTTTTCCTTGCCTTAGATTAGTCTTATATTTTGAAGAAAATTTTCATATCAATATTCATTTTTTAATCAATACATTTAATTTACGCCGTGGATACATGCACGGAGTTTATCGTTAACTATCACGGAGGCATGACATCGAAGTCATTTGCAGGAGAACTGCATTCATTTTAAAGTAAGTTTATATCTCTTACAATAGTGTAACTTTTGGTTTATATCTCTCCATGAGCACCTAACCGTACCTTCATCCATAGCTCTTATTAAGGAACCGGTGAAATCGGTTTTGGATGGAAAACAGAAATTTGATTTATTTTGGAACAGAATTAGCTCATTGCATGATTTCTGCAGTACTGCTGACTCACCAACGAAGGCATCTTCGCAAACACTTCTTCAACAACACTGGGATCTTTAATTTGATTGTGTTGTATATCAAGTACGGACAGCTGAGTGCAATTCACCAGATGTATTATATCCTCCAGTTCAGACAATTTGTTGTGTGCAATCACGAGCCTTGTGAATTTCGGGAGCATGTCTGAGGGAATTGAACACAAAAATGCACGATTTGTTGATTCATATAAAAGGGGATTCACTTATGAGGGTTATTTAGATAATGGAATGAAAACAGCATAGGCACCTTTCTTGAGCCTCTAGAGTGTGCTATAAACCAAAATCCCCTCGAGCGGCCATTTTCATATTCAAAGTGCCCCAAAACCCGCTCGCAATCACATCTTTTCAAAACACAGTTTAACATTCATTAATGTTAACACTATTATTAATGTTATATTTTTTACTTGTCTTTTCCACATTGCGTGTTGAACCGATTTGCATAGAAACAGTCTTTACAACAAAGAAATAAACCGCTATTTTTTTCTGATTGTGGTTCCGTCCAGGTTTCCCAAACCAGAACAGTAATTTTGTTTCGACTTCCCAATCCAAACATGTGCTTCATCACTGCCTGATCCACAAAGCATTGAGGCAGTGTAGCGGAAGCCGCAAATTTAAAATGTTTCACACCATGCCATGTAAAAGTTGTGATTTGGAGTGGTCGATCCAGAAGAAATGGAACGGAAAGAACTGCAACACTGAATCAGGGAAAATAGGTCTTTCAGTGAGTAAAATTTTCAAAATATCCTTCGTGGTGCACCAGTACTTTAATTGGTTAGAAATTTGAAAATGAATCAACAAAAACATCCATATATTTCATATTGTAAGCGGAAGACGAAGAAAGTGACAGCTCACATATACATATGTGATTGGATGGGGTGGTATCCATGGCTCTGGATGAACTTTTCTTTATACGAAATTTACTGAAACACGTAACGGTGGGAAGATCGAAGGAGGTCAGACCGATGCAAAGTTGGGGGGAAATGCAACCACACAGATCGAACCGTGTTTCTCGATTTGGGACAGCGGAATCAGCCTAATCCACGGCAAGAGACACTTTGGGTCGTTAACAGTATTGTTCGTGCGTTCATTTGCTGTTTTGAACAACAATTTCTTTGTGTTCTTTACCTTTCCTTTAATACTGAGCTCAGATTTCCGCTTTTTCATTTGCTCCCTCATCTTTTTTCAGTTCAGATCAGTTTTAACAACCATTAACCGTGCACTTTCATGCACCGGTTTCGGTTGCCGTCTTTTGGCTGCCCATTTGGATGAACATTAGGAGAAAGACAGGAAGGGTTTAATGGAACTGGTACCTAAAAGACAGTAACCAAAATCGGGGTCCAAAATTGCAAGGTCGGTCTTTGCACAGAACCGAACGTGAAGCTATGTAGATCAGGTATGTGGCTGAAAATGTGTACGACTTACCAAGGTTTTCAATCTTTGTGATCATATTGTTGCTCACATCCAAAGTGTCCAAATGTTGCATGTGTTCTAAATTTTCAATACGCCGGATCAAATTTTTGGCCAAATATAACGAACGCATTTCGTTTTGCTGCTCCAGGCCGTCGATCCGATCAATACCGTTGACTTCCAGAAACAGGCAACGAAGACCGGTATATTCTTCCAAGTTTTCAATTTTGGAGAATCCTACAAAAAGAAAGGTCCAACGGATTAGATGTAGTTTCGACTTTTGCAAACTTTGGCAATGCTGACATATTATAAGGTACATGCATGATTTCTGTGGTATTTTTTGCAAACCAGTTGAAACAAGGCCACCTGCCAACATTATCACTTACCATTGAAATGCAGATAAAGTATATCATTCAGTTGAGGTGTTTGATACAGCTTGTGCTTGGCGCAGTGTTTCTTCAGAAACTCTTTCGTCATCCTACCAGAAAGAAGGATACACACACCTGAGATTATTGAACAAGGAATAGTATTGATTGTTTTCGGGTAAAGTTTAGCTGTGAAAATAGAAACCTCAGAAAAAGTAATATTTTGGATATATGGCTTCAAGAACCCCTGATTTGGTTATAGTGTGAATACAGCTAATCTTGTTTTACGCTTCCGTAATTTTCATTTGTAAAACGTGGGTTATTTTATATAACAGCAAGTACTGACAGTTAACCGGCAGCCTGCGGATCCTGGAGGTGAAGGCTGCTTTGTCAAGTCCAGATGGTAATGCATTCCAAATGTGACCATTAAAACTGCAACTCAGTGCTGGCTGTTGTCCGTCACTCGGTTGCTTCAAAGCAAAATTTCCTAAGTTCGAGATTAGAGAATCCCTTCAAACGGTCTCTTGTGTATGCTAACTCTGAGTAACAAAATTATTTCATGTTAACAACAATCTTCTGTTGAATCACTTAAGTTCTCATTTGTACCCCGATTAAAAACGCACTCATTTATCGGCCCGGATGTCTAAACTATGATTGGAATATCAATACTGGTCCAAATGGATCCCACATTGTTACCTTTGCGATCGTGCCCAAAACGGTAGGATAGTTCGCGGTGGTCTATTGAAAGAAGCAGCAGCACCATCAATATTTATTACATGAAATTATTTGCGACAAATGTTTATCTGGCTGAACTAATTAATTCATCTAAAATAGGATTACGCAATCATACTTCAAAACTGCTAGCAGCTTTAACCACAAGTGTACACGAGAACAGTCAATCCAAAACATCAATCTGCCTCGTTGATAAACGTATCACTCCCCCCTGACCCACTAATTGTTTAATAAGTCACTTTCAGATAGACAGTTTGTCAAAAATCAATGCTTTTTATGCAGCACAAACAGACGCTAATTTTAGCTTAACTTTTCTGACTTACTCAAATGCATCGTGGTTTAACCATCTAAGTAAGCTTTACGTGCTCACCTTGGAACCATGGGACCTCTGTCCCGTTCCGCATTGATCCTCTGTCTTTCTTCTTGCAACACTTCGCCACGTTTCAGTATGGAATAACCAGGAGGATATGGCAGGTTTGACAAATCGCTGGTTAGCATTGATAAATCTGTTTTATCCGGCGGGTTTGTCATCTTCTCAACGGTACTCTCACCACACTGTTTCGGTGTGTTTTCAAATTCCACGGCACGTTCTTCAACGCTCACATAACCGGCATCTGTTTCCCCGTTGGCTGATGCGGATCTCTTCCCGATCGACTCTTCATCCGAAGATGGTCGATCTACTTCACATGAGACTGCTTGATCTCCGCTGACGGCAGTTGTCGTGCAGATTATTTTGTCCGAATCATGTGACATCCATTCTGCAGTTTCATTAATCATGCTATGCTCATCTTCGTTTATTTCACAGATTAAAGAATTTGGAGCTTCTTCATTGTGAGTTTCTGCCACACACTCCATGTTCCTCTTTGTATCAGTGACTACAAATGCGGTATAAGCAAATGTCGTTAAACAAAGTTTTCGTAAACTTTAACAATGAATTTACTCACACCAGCCTTCACTATCTCTATCTCGGTCCTTTCCGGCTATGGTTTTGTTTGTTATTTTCTAGCTGTCAACAGTATACTTTGCTATACGTAGCCAGACCATTAAATTCAATTACCTATGTGCAGAAGGTCACTGAGTAATGAATGTGGCTGTATTGTGTTGTGGTACCAAAACTTAAATGAGTTCATTCAAACAAAACCAGCGGAAACCGAGTGTACCTATTTGTTTTCGGTGTTGAGCAACATCAATGGTGTATCTATCTCAGGAGAGGTAAGAGTTTCTGCTTCTAACCCGGAATTTCACAATATCTACTGAAAAATATGCTTCACTTTATTAATAATCACTAATACCATTATCTACGCTACATGAAACAAATGGTTATGCGCACACCATACGGTTTTGAACAGGTAAAAAAAAGCGGTCAGGCTGTGGTCTGTTGTTGTGCGGATTAAGCACCCTTGTACAACGTCAACCCTGAGCGATTCAAGCAGAGAAACTCCAAACAATAATGATTGAAGGCACTCGAATAGTTTGATCACCACTAGGTAGAGTCACACGGAATAGTTGCATGCGACCTCGATTACATAAATACATAATACAACCGATGCTTGCCCATAATGACAAGATGTAAAAGAAAACCGATTTCTGAATACTTCGTGATTCGTTCCTTGGTGTGAACAAAAATGTCACTAAATTCATCACACAGTTTACATTGGGCACGGACTTGTACACATCATTCTTATGTTTGGAGAGAACTATTATCACTTAACAGGTTTCCACCGCTGAGTATTAGCAAGCACGCAACCAGTAGCCAGATTCACTAACATGTAATACATCAACAGTCCACCGGATTTTGTTTCCCGCTGGTTATCTTCAAGGTTTGCACAAATATGTGTTCAACAGTTGTTATAACTATACCGTCGCTTAAATACATTTATCAGTTTATTCGGGTATGATATGTATATATTTTTACTAAGAACCAAAAGTTCAGCTCATACTCAACTTCCACACCCTTCATTTTTGTGCTTTCTTGAACTTGTCCTGGTTCCCAACTTCCCGCTAACAATTTGATTAACTTGTGAGTAAAATTAAAACAAAAGAGTTAGTAAAGCTGATTTCATCGGAAAATTATTTCACAACCTCACAAGAACAGTATTTGAAAACAAATATATTGGGGTTTATCTAAAAGTAAATGTAAGTCGTCCTCGAAATTCGGCAACTAAAACCAATTTCAATGAAAGAATTTATTATGTACAGATCAAATAAAGTGTGAACTAAAGAGCTAGGAAGTACTGTACAACTGTTTCGACCTGGTTGAATTTCATCAGCATTGGGAGTTCATTGACCGAACTGGGTTCGAGCTCGGGTCCTCGCGGGCAGAACGCAAGTATGCTACCTACTTAGCTACCGGGAAGCCGCTCAGTTCGTCTTCTCCATTTTCCCTTTACACGATATAGCTCAACCCGAACGGATAAGGGCTATACATGCAAAATGGTATCATAAACAGCGAAGTCTATATGAGCCAATTAGTTGTGAACCACGAACCTATTATTGCCAACCAATAGTTACGCCGTTTTAATCAGCTTTATTATCTACTCGTCACACTATTCAACTTATAACTCTATCACATCACCGTGATTTTTGAAATGTGCTAAACATTTAACCACCAGGTTGCATGAATCCATCCGTGACTTGGCTTTTTAAGCCAAGATTGCGGGTTATTCATCTACTGTGAACATAATTTCTGGTGAGAAAAGTTATCACTTTTGCATTGGCTTACATACAATTTGAAGTGAATATAAAGATATGACATTCAGTAACTACGTAATGAGGATGAAGAGGAAGAACGGGCAGCAAAATTAGAAACTGCATCATGAATTACATGAGATTATATTTCAATAAACCAGGAAAAACTGTGGTGTGTATAAATTTTCCAACTTAGTCCGGGTGGCAGAAGAGGAAATGAAGCTGAGAGTAGAGTTTGTAATGCATAACACAAAACTTAATCATAAAAATGGTCACATGCAGCACTATTTTGTTCGACAAGGGAGCCGACTAGCGCTACATGACTGACAGCCTTATATCTAGAAATGCTTTTCAAAGAGCGTTTCATCAATATACAGTCCTTAGACGACAGACCGGGGAAAATATGGGGAACATAAAGCGTATAAGGAAATAAATTTAGACACTATATAAATTGACTCCCTCAGACGTCGAAGGCGTGAGCTCTAAAATGTCAACTTCCGGACCTTACGAACTGTTCGTTGCTGGTAGCAGTAGGATTTCAAGTTGGTACACAGAAACCATCCCTATAAGGTATTTGAAGTTGGCCAAGATTCTGAGAACAGGTGATCCGGAATGTTTAAATTGTCTACAAACGATGGAAAGTAAAATTTTAGTGTATTTGATTGAGTTTAAGGAAAAGTTACACCATCAAACCATTAAGAAATCGAAATAATGTCTGATTGAGGGGATTTGGTGGAAGGGTTGTTTCTGGATGCATCACAAACCATTTTAAGTAGAACTATTGCAATAAATATCTATAAGAAAAAGTTTCAGTTCACAGACTATTTTTGATTAGGAGTTTGATAAAACAACCCCCAAAAAGATCAGTTTAATTTTGTTTCTATTGTTTGTTTCTATCAGTTGTATAATTTTCAATATCCAGTTTTCATGCAAAGATACCTTTGTCGGAAATGTTCTTTCTTCTTCATCGATCATGCAGTATTTTATTGGTTTTATGTTCTGTTAGGTTTTTTAAACCTAGTGTGTGACAGCTGCTTTCGGCTTAAAATCCTGAGAGAAACACTCATGTATTGAATACACTGCTTTTAAGTGGATACTGAAGGGAAACTTAGACTCGCGTACATATCGGAGACCATATCTTTTGACTTAAGAAAATTAATTCACAAGAGTTTTCAATTTTTTGCTTCAGAAACTAGCACCTCTTATT